TGTATTGTTCCAAATTCCAATTTTAACGGATGTCCCAAAGGACTGGCTTGATTCATATAGATTATTAGATTCTAGTCCCATCTGGATTTGAATTTTGAAAACAAGTCAGTGTCAAATAATAGCTGCAAACATTTCCCAAGTTTCATCAGTAGATTGGTACCACAGTCAGTGTCAACACTGTCAATAATCGCTGCAACCATTTTCCACGACTCCCAGACACTCGCTCAGAAGAACCAAGACAGAAAAAGCGATTGTGAATGTTGTCGAATAATATAACAATGACAGGCAGTTGGGATCACAAAGAATGTATTCCTTCATTCTGTCGACGAATTCGCCAAGAAAGGCGGAAGAGGAAGAGGAGGAGGGGGGGAGGGGGGGGAAGGGGGGGAGTTTAAGCAGCAGCATGTGCCGCCAACAATTCACGCACGCCTTTCTGCACCACGGAATCGGATCCACCCACATTTGTTGAAAATTCAAATCAAATTCTGACCGACTGACCACTGGCTCTTTGTCATGTGAAGAGACACCCGTTTCTCCTGCCCCGGGTACAATTACAAATCCTCGTTTCCAGCTACGCATCATCACGCACAATCCCTGGTCTGCTCTGTCTACACCACGGATGGGACGACTTACTCCTCTCTCCTTCGCCACCTTCGACCGCCTCCAACCTTCTCAGCAATCGCGCATTTTCCCATACCGGGAATCGAGCGCAGCAGGACCAGGTCCACCGACTTCGGCACCGGCTGGACCACCTTGTGATCCAATTGGCACCTTGTGGGAAGCAGGAAAAGGGGTGGCTAGGTGTCCGGCACGGGATAGCTAAGTACCAGAAATAGGCTAGTTACAGACCATGAATAGTCGAGCTGCGTACCTGGCATGGGCTAGCTACGCTCCAGGAATGGGCCAGCTCTGTACCAGGACTAGGCTGGTCCAATGTTGCTAGCTATGTACCAGAAATGGGCTAGCCAGGAATAGTACAGCTACGTACCTGGAATGGGCTAGCTCCAGGAATGGGCCAGCTCCGTACCAGGACTAGGCTGGGCCATTGTTGCTAGCTATGTACCAGAAATGGGCTAGCTACAGACCAGGAATGGTCTAGCTGCACACCTCGAATGGGCTAGCTACGCTCCAGGAATGGAACAGCTACACACCTGGAATGGGCTAGCTACGCTCGGGCCAGCTACGCACCTGGAATGGTGGAATGGGCTAGCTACGCTCGGGCCAGCTCCGCACCGGGACTAGGCTGGTCCGATGTTGCTAGCTATGTACCAGAAATGGGCTAGCTACAGACCAGGAATGGTCTAGCTACGCTCCAGGAATGGGCATCAGGACTAGACTGGTCCAATGTTGCTAGCTATGTGCCAGAATGGGCTAGCTATGGACCAGGAATGGAAGGCTACGCGCCTGGAATAGGCTGGTTATATGTCAGGAATGTTGCTAGCTATGTATGCACCGCAAATGGGCTAAGTACAGACCACAAAGGGTCTAGCTATGTACCAGGAATGGCCGAGCTGTGTTCCAGGAACGGGCTGGCTACGCGCCAGGAATAGGCTAACCACGTACTAGGAATGGACCAGGTACATATGCTTGTTCCCTGCAGGAACACGGCCAAAAAACTCTATACTATAGAGTAACTCTGGTTTAGTCCACGAGAGAATAATGTAAACCAGGTACGCAATTCTTGCCCACTGAAAACGGGGATAAATCATATAAGTGGGTGGCTTGGAAAGTGGGGAGGAGAGGGGCCAGCCACCGCCTTGCCGTCAGAATGACAGAGATCTCAAATGACCGATCCCTACAGTAGGCAATACTAGGTAGCAGGCACCCAACCAACCCTCCCAACATCAGTAGCAGCCTAGCAGGTACCCATCCAAATGGACACACTAAATCCCCCGACCCTCTCAACATCAGATTCTATCTGTCAAAACCATATCCACCGTCGGATCAATCAACCAATCGACATCCAGCACAAAACGGCCACTTTATTGACTCCGCCGTTTAAAATCCAAAGTCGTATCAGTTCCCAATAGGCACTTAACGACAGGCTGCGGTTAACCGTCAGGCGCGTTAGCGTCCATAAATTCTCAAATGTCGAGCTAGCGTTAGTATTGTTTCAAACGAGAATCATGGCAAGCGTAATTTTAGGAAAGCAGGGCAAAGTAGATGGTCAGGACGAGTTGGATCGATCGATTGATCGGTCGGTCAGCAGAGCGCCAGCGGTCCATCGAATCAGCAACCAAATCTGACGGTCCAGCACAAAATAGCAGCTTCGTTGACACCGTGGGACCATCAAATCAGGAACCGAATCTGACGGGCCGCTTCATCGACTCAGCAGCCGCCGGATCGATCAGCAGAGAGCAGTGGTCACTCAAATCCAGCAATCAAATCTGGCGGTCCAGCACAAAATGGCTGTTGCATTCACTCAGCCGTCAGATGGATCAGCAGAGGGCCAGTGGTCCCATCAAATCCGCAACCAAATCTAACGGTCGGTTGACCTTGCTCTGCAGCACATACTAAAATGCATCGATCGATGACAGCCCTTCGCGTCTTGCTCTTGCCAACACATCATCATCATCGTCATTCATCCTTCCATTTTGTGTCCCGTCGTTACAAGCGTGATCGTGCGGTCAAGTCCGATGCCGCATTTCGCTCACTTTCCAGTTTTCTGCGCTTTGTTCCGTAAGATTCCGCATCAATCTCAGATGTAAGGAAGGCCGCAATGTACGAGCATCATTCAATTGAGTCCAGCCATCCATCTACTGCTCGCCTTTTACTCGCTTTCACCGACACGCCTACCTCACAAGCCATGACCTGTATGCATTACTGATTGTTTTGTTTCGGGCGTGTCTTGCCGGCTGCCGTTCGCACAAAACATTATCATCGTATTCCTCCTCCTACCAACGCACGGTGATGACGTCGACGAGACCGTCCAGCCTGCTACCTGCCTCCCCTTCCTTCCCTCCCCCTTCTGCCACATGCCTATACTCACCCTAGCACGATGTTCAATGCATCTCACCACATTTCCGATAACGAGGTAGAAGAGAGGTATTCCACAAGGACATCCAGCACTGCATCCACTTCTCGTCTTCGTTCCCACCGCACTATCGGTATGACAGTCGCAGTAAATGATATGTGATGTGGCCATGGGTATAGGGAGGGACCCTCAGGTAAAAGGCAAATAATGAGAAGGACAGAACAAAATAACCCAGGGTCAGATCAAGCCATCTCGTGATCGTCCAGTTCTCTTCCGGGCAAGTTTGCCAGCAGCTTTTCGGCGTGGAGAATAACATCACCGACATACGGTCGCAACTGTGGAGTCGGTTTCAGCATCCACGACACAAGCGAGTGGAAAGTCTCTGGGTAGGGAGGATCTCCCGAGAACGAAGGCCACAGTACTTTCCCGCTTATGACGGCAAGCGCAAGCGAGCCGCCAGATTCTCCAAGGGAACGTTCAAAAGGAGACAAGTAATACCTGCACCGACAAGCAGCACGTCACACATGAGCGTCGTGCCGATGAGCTGATCGGATGTCATTTAATAAATTACTTAATAATCAATTAATTAATAACAAAACAGAGCGACCATCAGTATATCCAAACGGCCAATTCTCTGCAGACCCCCAGATCCAATCAATGACAGAGGTACCCTTTGTCACAAACTCATAACACGACCAAATTCACTAGACGTATGCATCCACTAAACCCCACCAGTACACTTTTTTAATATTTAATGACAGAGGTACCCTTTGTCACCCGGGCCTGCAGGCCTCTAACTGCGCGCCAAGCTTTTCCAAGCCTCCAGCGGTGCACTTTTTTTTTTCTTGTTTGGCTGGCGCCGCCGACCATCGTCGTCTGGTAGCCCGAGCCTCCGAAATTTTTGCAGGCTACGAGTTTCTTTTTCAGCAAGGCTGGGGCAGTGTACTCGCGGTTTAAGGTTGACAAAAAAGAAAGTTAACGCCCGTGCTGATGCCCAAGGTCTGCACACAGTTTACGCATCCCCCTCTATACACCATTGGATGTCCATCAAAGCTTGAAAGTACAAACCCTGCAGCCGATGGATCCCCCGCACCCTACAGACCGTTGATGTTGCATCATACAGAAGTTACAGAGGTTGCCGTAGATGGATGAACCGTCAACCATCTGTGGAGTTGGGGGGGGGATCCATCGGCTTCAGGGTTCGGACTTTTAACTTTTGATGGATGATCCACGGTGTATAGAGTGGGGATCATCAACAGTCTGGGGGGTTCGACCGTCAAACCGCCAGTACCTTTCCCATATGTAGAGGCCGCGGGCCCTGCGCGCCAAGCATTTGGGACGTCTCTGGCCGGCGCGCCTCCCCGGGCCTGGCCTCCGTGTTAACCGGCGGGCATTTTATTTTTGCCTGGGAAAGGTACTGGCGGTTTAATGGACCGTCAACGTCCTGTGGGGTGGGGATCCATCAGCTGTAGGGTTTCAACTTTCAACCTAGGCTACCAGAGTGGCCCAGGTCCACTTGCCCGTCCGAGCCAAAATATATATAGTGTCTGGAGTGTATTTTTTGGCTGTGACAGACCTTTCTTTGTTTCGTGGATGTTTTGCTGGCTTGTGATGGGGTGTGAACCGACAGTCTGTAGAGTTTTCCATCTGGTGTGGGTGAGTGATAGTCTACTTTGATTTTGGTT